CACAATCAGCTGTCAGAAGCGTCGCACTCGCATTAAAAAGACAGCCAGAGAGAGTTGATATGTGTAGGGAGAATTGTAGCGCTGGTCTCCAAGTTAATGATTTGGCGAGAAGTTAGTCACGGACCTTTCAAAAGGACCAAATAACTAAAACAAAAAAAAGAAAAAAAAAAGAATAGAACTTTGATATTTGTACACTGATTTTTGACATTTTAACTAACACTTTCATTATTGTCAAATGTTAATTGGATAAAAAATTGTTTGAAATTTAAACGGTTTAATAGAATAATAATACGTGACAAAGTATAAACTAAAATGTACATGTAGCAATTTAAAAAAGAATAATGCCTAGTGTACAAGCTATTATTCACATGGCTTTTACAGGGCCCCCATGCATTAAAAAAAAAATTACGTGGGTATGTGTGTGGCTTGGCAGCCTGTATCTGTAAGCCTAGCACGACTGTAAAAAAATTTGGAAAAAAGCTATTCTACCAGATTGATTCAGCCAGATTTTGTACAGATTACTCACAATGAGATGGATCCCACCCAATTAAAAAATGACACAAATAATACCACACCACTTGCCTGTACAAAGCCTATTTAAATGAATCTGGTACTATAGCACTTCTCAAAAAATTGGGTAAAAAATTTGAATGGTCCACGACTTTGTTAGTAATTTTTTTTTTTTTTGTGACTCAGGTGTTCGAGTTTCGTTTGACTAATCTTGAGAACCACCCAAATAAATCAGGATGCGATTACAACTTAAACACATTTGGAATGGACATTCAAGATGTGGTTCTCCTTTCCACGGATCTCCTTTACAGAACTCTTGAAAGAACGACAAAGCTCATTATAATTTTGCCATCAAGGAATATCTGTCTTTCAACATAAATATTGCCGTCTAACTACATTGGGAATTCAAATCTCTAATTCTCAGTAGAGAACCTCCTATTAGTTTCGCTTATGAACATCCTACACGCATAACAAATTGATAATTTGACACACACTTGACGTCATTTGACACCTAATAATAGTCTAATACGCCAACGAGAATAAAGTCACAAGCACACTTTTATTGCACTTGAAGCAAGAAAACATTTTTTAAAAGGGTGAGTGACAAACTGTTATACAGAGTGATGAATAAGACAATGTTTTGATAAGTGTAACACCCCACATTTTTTTACTATGTAAATCTGAACTTATTATTTAGCAAATAAAAATGTGAAGATTTGTCATTATATTAAAAGTTCAAAGTTGAAGTGGTAGACTCGACTCGCGTATTCGTATAAATAATTTATTTACGAGTTACGAGCACTTTTAGAAAATTATTTGAATAGAATATTTAAGTATTTTTAAAGTTGATGAAAATATACTGATACTATACTCGTTTTGTAGCTCGTGTTAAACAATATAATTTGAGCTTAAGAAAAAGTAATTTCGAGCTAGTTATGCCTGAGTTATTCTAATAGAAAGAAAATTATCATTCTCAAATTTTATATTAATACATATATAATATAAAATAATAACCAAATGAATAATTTCATTGTATGGTTACGTAATGTCATCCACTTTAATTGATTTAGAAATTTATAATGCATTCCATAACCATGACATTAACTCTAATTAAACGTGGAAGTGTCCTTTTAAATTTATAACGGTAACTATCACGTTCACTTTAATTTATTTTCAATTAAATCCTATTGTTTAATTACATTAATCCTCAATTAATGATCAGGTGGCTTTTCAATTTGTAACCGTAATCATAAACGTCCACTTATGGTGGTTTAACTCCATTATTCTTCCATTAACGTGAAATGCCTTTTGATGTTACGTAAGTTACGTGTGTGGAATATATAAATAGGTGTATTTGAGATGAAAATTATATTCTACAACAATAGTATATTGTACACTCCACACCACTAATATATTTAGAATTTAATAGAGTATAATATTTATATCTTTTCACAAAGTCAGTTTCAAGTAAATTCTTGGATATCAAATTGAGGTAAGAATATATCGTGCAAAGTGGTAAATTATTATTCCTCGATATTTGTATAATTTTTTGCATAAAATACTATAAGGCCTTCGGGTAGAACTCTAGTTAAATCATACGGGATGGACCGTTTGGTTAAAGATGTTAAGTCCTACACGATATAAGGATTCTTAAGAAATTCCTTGAGCTCTAAATCTAAGAAATGTTGGTATGTTATGCTATTTTTATATTTATATCATGTGAAAAAGGATGTGCACGTATTCTTACTGAGTGTTTTCAAAATACTCATTCTTACAATATTTTCAGATAAGAACGGGTCGTGAGAAAGCGTGGAAGATTGACGGAGCGATGCTAATGTGGTTGTCAAGTAAAATTTCTAGAAAAGACAATCGTCAATTTATATAAAGAATATCTTTGTGTTAATATTTATGCACGATATTTATTATGTTGTTAAATAATTTGAAATCGAATATTTTCGATATATTTCCCCTTAAATTAGATAGAGAAAAGTTTTGGTAGCACCTTGAGCTCATTTTTATTTAAAAATAATAATAATAATGAAAAAGAGTTCGGGGCGTTACAATAAGTTCATTAACTTCTTCAACTTTTAAAATTGTGAGTGGCGGATGAGATGATATTTTTTAAGTTCAATAACAGCTCGAAATTTTTTTGAAGTTCAATTGAAATTGGGAAAACATTTGAAAAGTACAATGATAACCTAAAAACTTTTACTAATTAAAATATATTCATGAAATTTCAGTAGCAATTATTATATTTAACCTGCTATTATACCTATCCTTAGTTCGTTGTGCAAATAACTGGTAGACACTTAAAATAAACCCAAATTAAATTGTCATTCCACTTCATATTCATTATCTTCACCGGCATTTGACTTTGTATTACTGGTTTTTCTCGTGATATATATATATATATATATATATATATATATGGCTTCGTCTTTCACTAAGAATGCATTTTATACGAACTAGTTATGATAATTTGAAAAGAGAAAATATATACAATGAAATTGCGGTGACAACTTGACTTAGTTTTAAGACTTTGCCGAATTAATATGAATGATTTGATTTGAAAATATTTCAAATTGTTCGTTTTATACTATTTACACTCCGACCAACAATTTATTTTATTTTATTTTTCATTTTAATTTTTTATAATTTATAATGACCAAAATTCAATTAATTTTCTCTAACTACCCTCAAGCTATGAGTAATTTCACTTGGGGCCCTTAAATTGATAATTGTTGGCCCCAATAATTAATGTTCAAGTATTAAATACGGAAATCTAAAATCAAATACTTATTTGCTTATAATAAGTATTTTTTTTTAAGCTAAGCCAAACACACGTCAAGCATTACATTTTTATGGACATAGTACTTGAAGATTACGTCAATAACTTCATTAAACTTTATTTTATCACAGTTAGTCGCTTAATTTATAATTTTGTATCAATTAGGACATTTACTGCTACTTTTTAAAATTGTCAAATGGAATCATAACGTGGATATTGACATGACATAAATAAATTAGAGGTGATAAAACCAATCATCAATTTATATATATATATATATATATATATATATAAAATTTATGATTAAAAAGTAGGAAATTTTTTTAAGTTTAGTGTAAAATTATTTTATTGAGAAATGTGGTTGAAAATGAATATCGAGAAAATTAATTTTTAAAGAATCAAAATCAAACAAAATCTTAGAACATGAAAATTGAATCGAGTGAATTATTTGAAACAAAAACGACTCATTTGTGACAAAACGAGGTTTATAACAAATGTTTGATTGTATTGTATCTAAGATGTTACCCTCTATTAGGACATTGAATTTGTTAAGTTTGTACGACTGTTACACTTGCATGATTTATTCATTGGTTAAGGCGTAGCCGCAAAATATCATTATTTTTTGTAGCTCGCAAGGTACAAATTATGTGCAATAAAGAGCAAGGGGATGTGGTGAAGTTACATGTATGACATATTCGTTTTTATTACATTTGATATGATAATCGTAGATAACCACAAGCATTTTCCACTAATTTGTTGGGTTTTATTCATTGTACTCAACATGTCATCAATATCATTAATCTACTATTGCTAGGAAAATACTTAGCAACCGAAAATGTAGGTTACCATTGATTCATCCATACGTGACAAATGATACTAATATTATTATACTTAGCCCATGTCGGCCTGTATTTTCAAAACTCATTTTTCTTCAAACTCGTTTTTAATCATAAATTTTTTAAATAAAAATAATTTTGTACGTGGACCTTTAATTTTTTCCTTTTTTTTAATCAATCTTTAAAAAATTACTTTTTACAAAATTTATTTTCAATAAATGCTATCAATCGTGCAAGAGGTGATAGTAATTGAACTTCTGGATAAATTTATATCTCAATTACACGCATAAATTAATAAGTTTCACAAAAAGTAATGGGACAATGTTCAAGTCATTTGGTGATCATACTTTTGACCGTGTCTCTGAAACCCAATCCTTTGTAAGTATCATGAACATATAAACATATAAAGAGTAGAATACGAATATATTAGTTGTACATAATGTGGTGATCATAACAGTGTCCACCTTCCTCACATGGAGGGAAATTCACTTCGAATTGTGAGGAAGGTGGATACCGTCATGAACACCGTGATATATATATATATAATAACCCGTAGAATATTAGGTCAATAAATCAGGGTAACCACTATTTTTGTGACCTCTAGTGGTCTATTGCTCAACTCAACTCAAATGAAGAAGAATAAGTTAAAATTTCACTTTTTCATGATCAACGGATATAATAATTTCTTTATTATCATTTTTTCACATGAAAATTCATTATGCCCTTGTTTGAGTCCCATTATTTCCACCAAAATACATTCTTTAACAATGATTTGACCAATTTCAAGCCCACATTATTCATTAAAATAATATTACACGAAAATTCAAAACTTTTTCTTATTTTTAATTACACATTTCCCATTAATAAACTATTCAAAAATACATTTTTCAGCAAGAATGTGGCTCAAACAAGGGCTATATCTAAATCAAGGGGGATCTCGTTGTTGCATAGCTCAGGTCGGAGCAAGGTGCCATCGGACGTTCAACAGGCAGTCTCACGATTGTATCTAAGTATGTAAGAAAATATTTTACTAACAAATAATTGCAAGTACTGTCCAAAAATTCACGAGTAGACAATAATCAAAATGGTAAATGCACAACAATTTAATAAATACAAATTTCTAATTATAGTTTATATAAATTGGCATGTTATTCTCATTTCAATTAAAAAAAGTACAATATATCAAAACAGAAGGAAAAAAAAAAAAACCTATATATTATATATATAATCTTGATGATTAAGTGAAAACTAAGCTGTCTATCACAATGAACCGTTCCTCGACTCCTCAATTTTGTATACATTATTGAACAATAATATTATCAATATTTAATGATTTTTTATTCTTTAGTTTTGTCCACGAGAATGTACAATCCAATTTAGCAAACAAGAAATCATTGGATTATTATTATATGCATCATATGGACAAACAAAACTTCCAATTTATGTTAAGCAATCCCACTTACCAATTCACCCTCTTTGCCAATTTTAGCCAGTATGGGAGTCAAATCCCTTGGATGCACATTGACCTTCAGACCATCCTTCATGAACAATGTCAATGACATTTTTTGCTCCACCCTGTGTCCCGGCGCCACCTTGAGACTGTGGCGGAGCAACACAGCTGCTGCAATCGACTTCATTTGCAAGTAAGCCAAGTCCTTCCCCAAACATATTCTAGGGCCAGCATTGAATGCAACAAATTGGAATTGATCCTTGGCCTCAAATTTCTTGCCATCTTGTGACAACCACCTTTCTGGCTTGAATTCTAGGCAATCATCCCCCCAAATAAATTTCATTCGACCCGTTGAGTATATCGAATAAGTGATATTCGAACCGGCAGGAACAAAGGTGCCGTCCGGCAATGTGTCGTCAGAGATGACATGTTTGGAGTCCTCTGGAACCGATGGATATAGCCTAAGTGTTTCCGACAGTGCTGCTTTAAGGTATATCAATCGATCTACTTCTTCAAACACTAGGGGGTCATCGACCCATTTTGTAGTGTCTTTACCGCGAATCTCCTTTAAAACAGTACAAATCTCAATCAAGATTTTTTCCTCCACTCTAGGGTTTAGGCTTACCAACCAAAAGAACCAACTGAGCGCCACCGATGACGTGTCACGTCCGGCGAGGATAAAATTGAGTGCAACTTGTTGGAGGAACTTATCAGTGTAGGTCTCTTTTTTCTTCATGAATCTTGATAATAAATCATCATGTTGGGCCCCACCTTTTTGCTGGCTCACCAACTCGAGCTTACGTGTATTGATGACATTGGTCATGTAATCGTCCACGTGTTTTAGGCTACCGCTCAAGCTGACTTCCATTCCAAGCCGAAGACATCTCTTCAATTTCCATACAAATTCAGGCAAAATGAATCGTTGAAGGGTGGCTTCGGTTGCTCTGTCAAAAGAAGAAGCGAAGTTGTTCTCTGGTAGGCCCGGAGAAAGAGTATGTGGATCCTTCCCAAAAGCTAAACCACATATGTTATCAAACGTTAGCCGTAACAAAAGGTCTTGCAGATCGACCGCCTTTCCTTCAACTTGGGCCGTGTGTAAAATTGGGCAGAATCTCAGCTTAATGGCTCGACTCACCCACCGAGCCATGGCTTGTCGGAGGGTCCGGGTGGTAAATTCCAATGCAGCCGTCTTACGTTGGAATAGCCACGTGTCACCATCCGAATTGAAGATACCCTGACCTAGTAGATCATGGAACACAGCTTGCCAAGTAGGTCCCTTGGGATAATTTTCAAACTTCACCTTCAAAATGTGCTCTAAATTCTTTGGATCGCATGTTACGGTCACGAGCCCTTGCTTCCGGGCTAAAAACGGAATTGCACATATGCATGTCTGGTACGTGCCACCGCACGTGCGGAGGTTGTCGGCTATCCATTCATGCATCCGATTGTTGTTCGCGATCAGGCCCGGTAAGCTACCCAAAATGGGCCACATTCTTGGGCCCATGGGCCCTTTCATGGATCTTGTAGTGGATCTGAACCACATCAAATAAGCTGCAACGAGTGCTAAAATCATCATAACCGTCGAGATATCCATGGGTCCAGTTGCAAAAGTCCGGCCTTCAGAAAAAATAAGCTAAAAGGAGAAAAAAGTACTTTTTTTATCAACTGTAATGTGGAGCTTCAAGCTTATATATATAAGCTAAAAATCAAAATCCCAGATGAAAAAATGCTGTAAAAAAATTTATGGGATACATATTTGGAACAAAATTGTGAGAGAAAGAATGAAAAAAGCTACAATGTGATGAAGAGATGAACAGAAGAGAGAGAGGTACACATGTAGATAGAGAAGGTAAGAATGGATGAGAGAGATCTGGGAGTGACAGAGGAGCTGAAGAAGAAAAAAGTGATTTATAGAGAAAGAAAGAGAGGCCATAAATAGATACATTATACATAAACACATCTTCTCTCTAAAGGGGTCTACAGTAAACTGCTTTAAGCAAACAACATTAAATGCCAGCACAGGTCGTTGAGGCTGAAAATTAAACAGCTGCAGACAGATTCTTCACCTACAAATCTGTGAGAATGCAAAGACTTTAATCAAAAATCACTTATTTTAAGTAAAAAATTAATTATTTTAAGTGATTGATGTTACCTCGTAACCTCTTTTTAACACTTCAATGAAAGCCATGCAGATGATGCAGTTGAGAAATAATTTGCTTTTGTTGACGAGCTATGAGGTGATCAGTGTGAATAAAATTCTTTTTAGTTGCAAGAAATGCTCACCTAATTTGGCAGAAAGGAGCTTATTATTAAATTCATGCATTTAATGGTCGGGAAAAAGTAAATGAGATTCGTTGAAGAAGCTATGTATGTCTGTGATTATGTGTATATATACATGTGCATGCATGCAATGTAAGTGTTGGATGAAACCGTGTGTGGTCATGTGACAAGTGTCAATGACATGTCAATCATTTTATACATTATTACGTACAAATAGCGTTATTCGATTTTATAATGGAAGAATTAAAAACTGGTTACTAGAAGTTTTCCTTAGAAGACGTTGAAGCTGACCTTTAAAATTTTGGACCATACCGTGTGTACACACGACTTTACACCCCCCTCACATGAAGGGGAGCCCACACGTAATAAAATATTCGTGGGCTCCCCTCCATATGAGGGAGGTGTGGTGTACACACGGCATTTTCCTAAAATTTTAAAATGTTTAACCGTATTCAATGAAGACATTTTAAGACTCTACAAAAGTATGAATTAGTTTTTTATTTTATTTTAAATCTCTATGATTTATGTGATATTCAAAATATAAATGACTTTTATAAAAGTATCTAGGTACTAACTTTAAAACAGAAAATATAAAAAATAAAATTTCAAAAAATGCCTCTCATTCGCCTGAAAATTTTGGAAAACTTTAACAAAAGATTCATTTTAGTATTTATTTTTTGTTCTTTAATATTTTCTTTCTTCTTATCTTCTACAAATCCTAGAATCATGATTGAAAGTTTATTATTTTTCTTCCACCTGTTATATTTGTTCTCTTTCCTTTTCTTTCTCTCTCTTTTTATTGTTTCTCTTCATTTTCTATGTAAAAAAAGATTTAAATTGTAATTAAAAATTCTCATAACATTTTTTTTTTCCTTTTCTTCATCTAATTTTTCATGTAAAAGATCAATTTGTAAAAACTTTAGATTAAGGCCTCGTTTGGGAGTGATTTTTTCACCTAAAAAAATTGATTTTTTGACCGTTATTTCACTATTTTAACCGTAATTTTTTACTTCTTCTCTCACCTGTGGCTCCCACTTTTCTCCTAACGGTGAAAAAATCAATTTTCAAAATCACTACCGAACATGCCCTTAAAAAAAGACTAATTTGTAATTAAATTTTAAATATATTGTTTAGTTACTTATTTTTACATGTCTAACTTATTGAAAATATTAAACATTGGATATTTCTTTTATGTAATTAAGATTATTTCATTTCTTATTTCTTTTCAAAATATTTTCTATTACATAAGGGGATGAAGATTGAACCTTCACTTCCTATGTGGAAATCCAAATGAATTATATTTTAAATGAAAGATTTTAAAAGTCATATGAACTCTAAAAAAATTATAGAAATTTTATTTTACAATAAAAGTTTATAGAAGTTTGCCATAGACTTTCATTAATTCTATTCAAATCTCTGACGAAATTCATAAAAGTCACCACTTGAACAAAAAAAATTAAATCTATAATAATCTTCATAAACCCAATTGAATACAACTTCCGAAATGATAATATTTTAGTAAATTCTTTGACAACTTGAATTTTTTTTAAAGTTTTATGACAATTGAGATATTTAACCCCGTCAAACTATACAATCAAAATGGAAAATCTTTATGAAGCTTATAGAATATACTTGGACATCAATGGCCTTTAGTTGGATCGTCCCAATGCATAATTGGTGCTTCCAATGGAGTTTAGTTACTTATTTTTACATGTCTAACTTATTGAAAATATTAAACATTGGATATTTCTTTTATGTAATTAAGATTATTTCATTTCTTATTTCTTTTCAAAATATTTTCTATTACATAAGGGGATGAAGATTGAACCTTCACTTCCTATGTGGAAATCCAAATGAATTATATTTTAAATGAAAGATTTTAAAAGTCATATGAACTCTAAAAAAATTATAGAAATTTTATTTTACAATAAAAGTTTATAGAAGTTTACCAAAGACTTTCATTAATTCTATTCAAATCCCTAAAAGTCCACGAAACTCATAAAAGTCACCACTTGAAAAAAAAAATGAAATCTATAATAATCTTTATAAACCCAACGGAATACACCCTCCTAAATGATAATATTTTATTAAATTCTTGGACAACTTGAAATTTTTTTAAATTTGAATGACAATTGAGATATTTAACCCGTCAAACTATACAATCAAAATGGAAAATCTTTATGAAGCTTATAGAATATACTTGGACATCAATGGCCTTTAGTTGGATCGTCCCAATGCATAAGTGGTGCTTCCAATGGGCATTTCTCATTGGTTGAATGAGAGTTTATATTCAAATTTAAGATTCACAAACTGGGAAATTTCATAAATCGTGAAGGTGAAAATTTAAAATTTCAACCTAACTGATGGCCAGCCTCGTTCTGAACGGAATGATTCAACAGTGACCAAATTGAAATATTCTAAAACTCAAGTGACTAAAATTATAAGGACAAAACGTAAGTGACAAAAATGAACTTTTTGGAAAACTTTAGTGACTTTAAGTGTTTTTATATACACACACACATGTGCGTGCATGCATGCAAGTGGGGGGTGGGTTGGGCGTAGATGGTGGAGGAGATAAAAATTGATGGTGCATCATGAATATGTTTATGGGGTATACATGTGAGAGCCGGTGGTGTTAGGTCCACCATTAATGCCTCTAACCCCAACTTTAATTACACAACCGTGTAACTCACTTTGACAACTATTGTTGAAGTATCGTGACTTTCATGAAGTCTCTTTCCAATAAATAAAATACTAATATAGGTAATAACAGTAGAAAATTAAAAGATAAATAACTAATTAATTAATAGCCGGGAATCTAGATTTTAGGAAAAATAACAAAGTCATCCACAACTTTGACTCCTAGTAAAGGTCAAAAAAGCTTGTTTATGATTTTTTTTTTTTTTTGTTTATGATGTATTTATTGAGAGAAATGGATGATTTATATTTATCAATTAAATAACATAAACATAATCCAACAATAATATAAACATAAAGAGAGAAGAGTTAAAAATGTAAGTCTTAAGGAGTTACGTCAACGACGCTATCCTAAAATCACGTTACTTTCCCTTCATGAGAGTTGTTTCGACACTGTACAACTCCAATATAAAATCCATGTTGCTCACAGTCATGTCTCTTTTTATGGGCACGACCATAAGAAAATAAATGAAATAACCTCTCATCGAGTTGCAAAATAGTATAGTATAAAATTATAGAGAGAATAATACTTCAAACCGTTGTATTCTAATTCTATTTTTCAATGACATATAACCATATTTTATAGCTGAATATCAACCCCCACAATTAAACCATTAAAATATAAGTTATAATATGAATTATGATGTTTTTAATTTGTGTTAAAACTAATTATTAAATCAAAAAACAGATAATTACATGATTTAAATATTAAAAAGTTAAAACTTCATTTTTATATTACAACAATCCCCCACAAATTTTAAATTTTCATGATATAGCCTCTCACTGCATGATACAAGTCGTCATTGGTGGCTCTCACAGTGTCGCCAAGATGGGTGGTTGTCTGAGTGATGATAGAAATACAAAATATATATAGTGAAAGAGGAAGATGAGTTCGCAAATGAGATGGTCCAAGAAAATGAGGCCCATTATAGGCCACGACGAATCAAGCAAGCCCTACCATCTGTCTATCTATTAATTTTTATAAATGAAATAAATAAAAATGAGAAAAATATATAATTATTATAGTTTCAAGATACACTTTCAAATTTAAGAAACTTGTAAAATTCTTTCAGAAATTAGGTAATCACATTTGAGACAATCTAATAAAATTTTTGTGAACCATTTATTAATTAATTATGTTATGGTCACAATAATATACAATTTATTGTCATTACGAATTATTCATAAATCACACAATGTCACGATTACAAAGACATAAGATGTGGGTCACAATTATAAATTTAGTCACATCACAACTTATTAATTAATCACAAATTATCAAATTTATTGATCACAATTTATTTATTGGTCATAATTTATCAAATTAACTAGTCATAATTATCCAATCAATTGGTTACATATTATCCTTCATATCCCTTACCTCACATCTTAATTCAATATTGCTGGCACCACCTAAATCATCATTTATGCCTCAGATCCACAATGCACCACCGCCATCACCACCTCCAACGAACTACAACCACCATCGTCACCACCCCA